TAGATCTACAAGCCTAGTTGAACTATTCTTCACTGTATCAGTAATGTTTCTTGTTCATAAAAAAAATCAGGCAAAGCTTGCCGCTTTAAATGAGAACTCAATCCTATTGTCAGAGAAACTCACACCAGACCAAATATCCACTGTGATTTATGATTCAACTGCAACTGCAAATCTACTTCAGAATGACCTACTATTACCACAACATATTAGCAACTGGTTAGATGAAGTAATCCTAGCAAAAAGGACTCCTCCCAGGGTACATCAAATATATGACTCTTTGGAACCTTTCACAGATGAACACTTTGAACAAAAGGAAGTGTCACTATCAATGTCAATACAATGCTCTGTAGACACTCACTCTCCACCTCCTCTACCACCTAGACGAAGCATGATTCTACCACCTCCATCACCTTTACCAGCTCCATCACCTCCATCACCTCCATCACCTCTGATGAGTCCAGTACAAGTTTCTACTCTAAACAAAGGTGCATATAGTGTAACAAAATGGCAAGAAAGTCCAGGTAACTAATTGTCTTAATCAATTCTTATGACTACTAAGTGGATTTAAAATTTTATAATTGCAGTACATGCAGCTAATAAAGCAAAGCAACCGGTTAGCAAAATGGGGCAGTATTTTGATGCAAATAGGAGGCTATTAGGAGATTATAATGCTTCGAAGGTATGATTCCTATTAATATGCACACTATATTTGTATTTGTATAGATAGGAGAGTTTCTTGGTCTAATGGGATTACAACAGTATGCTGCTACATTTTCACAAGAATTAGTTGACGGAAATTTATTCTTTGAGTTGGATGATGTAATGCTTGAAGAGGATCTTGGTATTACTAGCAGACTACATCGATTGAGAATGATGAAAATTATCAGAGGAGAACAAAATGTAAATGATTTTCTAACTGTATAACTACACTGTACGTTAACCACTTAAATTAATGTGAAAGCTAATTATAATTGTAACTAAGACATTAACTATTTTTTATGCTGCTCAAAAGTGTAAAAGAAATATTCTTTTATAGAATAATCTTTTATAGACCAGTTTTTCACCAATAACTTTGCTCGATGGTACACTTTGTACATTGATCTTATAGGTAGACCCTTTTTAGTATCAGTAGAGAAATGGTGCCTTCCATTATGACTGCAGACAGAGAAAGACTAGAAAAATCTGCTTGTTTGGCACGATTGGGCAAAATTGATTGTTTAATGTCAGTTTAAAAGCATACTCTCATAAAAGTTAATAAATGTGTTGAACTTGATACACACTCAAGTACAGTATATTAGTAGTAAACGCGTAACATGACTTTTTTAAACTTAAATTTCTAACAAGTTAATAGTGACTGATGTAAGTCTTAATGTGCATGTACATTTCTTTAAGATATGAGTACAAGCTATGTGATGTGTAAACACAGGATTCTGTTGTTTGGGCTGCATTTATATCCTCCTGTTCTTCAGACCATTCATAAACTAATATCAAAGGATACATCTCACCCTTTGTGGTTGAATAGTTTACCCATAGTAATGAATAAAATCGCCAATGAACATTGGGCCAAATACAAACAATCTAATTCTCATATATTCAATTTTTCCTTGTCCTCTTGATTTATGTGTATACTGCTGCCTTATTAATTGAACAAAATGCAATTCAAATTGGCATAAAATAGGAGAAACTGCTTTTTTATTAAATTCAAAAATCAAAACTTACCTTTATAACCATTTTTATGAGTACTTTGATTGAAGTGTATGATTTTATTGACACTGTTGCGACTACAGTCAAACCTCCTATTGTGGACAGTCTAAAATAGGGACACCTCTATAATCAGGACAGGTAGTATCAGTCCCAATACAATATAAATGTGTATTAATGAACCTCTAAAATAAGGACACCTCTTTAATAAGGAAAGTTTTATTAGGTCCCAAGGTGTCCGGACTAGACAGGTTTGACTGTACATTTTGATAGCTAGCTGGTTATTTATACCTTTATGTCTTAAATTGCTTTTGCTGATCTAATACATCCTACTGTGATGTCATAGAGATGGTGAAACACATTAAGTACTGGTAATTTTTGAAGGGGGAATTTCGGTGTTTTCATGAGTTTATAATACATCCTATGTGTAGGCTGTGTGTAAATATTGCTCTGATGTTTTAACTGGCTGTAATGAATTGATATTTCTCAGAAGCCATGCATAAACTATACCTTTTTTGGTAGATGCTCAACCCTGTGGTTTGATAGATAACCTACATTGTGTACTCAGCTGAGGGCTCTTAGAACACATCGATAAAAGTAAAACAATAAAAGCAAATGAGGTCAAAAATTACAAAAATAGCTCTGTAACAGTAAATGCATGTGTGTATGATAGCAGCAAATAAAATTAGCAAAAAACAATGTAAAAATGTTTTTCATAATGTTTATTTCATTTCCTCATAAATTTTTTCATTGTCCTCTTTACTTTTTGTATACACTTCTGCTCCATACATTCTGTTATTGAAGGATGGAGCATCACTGTACAAGTTATATTCTAATTTCTTCTTTCTTTTATTAAGAACCACAATCACTAATATTATTATTAGTACAAAGATAACTAAAAATGAAGACAAAAAAAGATGAACATAAATCAATGTAGTTGGCACAAAGGGAAAATGTGTGTGTGTATGATTGGTTGATACCTAAAAGTGATATAATAAGCAATGGTACAGTGTAGTACAAAGAGTTTTCAAGTTGGTTTGAAGTCTACATTAAAAATTAAATAATAAACATATTAACTTCATTATATGACTCACATTGGCATTTGAAGTACCACCAGCTACTAATAAATAATACAGAACCTGCTTTATTTTATGAATTCAAATAAGTAAAACTGGCCTTTACAACTAACTCTATCATCAGACAATACCTCATCAGATAAACACTCACAGTGAAATGAACCAATTTCATTGACACATTTGCGACTACAATTATTGGTACCAGTAGAACACTCATCTATATCTAGAGAGCAACAATGCTCAGTAAGTAATAAATTAAACATCTACCTGCACAGAAATAGTTGTCTCTTAGATTAAAGCCAGTATTACAGGAACAGTAATAGCTTCCAAATGTATTTGTACACAACTGCTGACAACCACCGTTTGTATTATTGCATTCATCAATATCTATTATTACATTGTTATCTAAATATAAGCATATAATCACTACCTTGGCATTGGTTATTTCTTATATTGAATCCATCCATGCAATGACACTCATAACTTCCTTGTGTATTGATACAAGTGTGATTACATCCATTGCTCTCATCATCACATTCATTGATATCTTTATATAAAAGCAGTACATGTGTATTCTAAATTTCTAACTTCAACAATAAAGATTTACCTGTACAAGTATGCAAATCAATTTCTAGCCGATATCCAGAATTACAAGAACAAGTGTAACTGCCATTGGTATTAGTGCAAAAGTGTTTACAACCTCCATTAAAAGGCTCGCACTCATTGATATCTGTTGAAAAGGAATAACAATTTTTAACGTGTCATGCAAATAAAATTTAAAATAATTAAAAATTACTTTATACTGGTTTATTTTGGGTAAAATATTTTTCTAAAATTTTTATCTCCTAAACATTTATAAATAATGCCATAATTCTTGTGAATGAAGGACGTATCACAAATTTGCAAAAATATTTCACCATGACAATGAACCAGTATAAGACTACAATCTGTACCAGTGCAGTTCATATTGTTAGTGTCCAATGTGTATCCACTGAGACAAGAGCACCAATAACTCCCATTGCTATTGATGCACAGCTGTTCACAGCTTCCATTATTAATTGCACACTCATCAATATCTTAGAGTTTAAAAAATATATGTAATAATTCAATTATCAACTAATACCTTCACAAGTGTGTCCATCAGTATTCAAGGAGTAACCAGATTCACAAGTACAGTAATAGCTACCAGCTGTATTAATACAAGAGTATGCACACCCACCATTGGATATTAAACATTCATTGACATCTATAAAACACAAAAATTGTTTAATGATATCGTAATCAACTATTAACAAAATACCAGTGCAGTTATATTTATCAGTGGTCAAAGAGTGACCAGTGTCACAAGAACAATAAAAGCTACCAATTGTATTGTTACATAAATCAGAGCAGCCTCCATTCAATGTATTACACTCATTGATATCTGAAATAATAAACAGTGTCACTTATTTTGCGTTATTATTCTCATTTTTACCTTGACACATGTGACCATCATTGCTCAAAATAAATCCAGCATAACAAGTACAGGTATAGCTACCAAGTGTATTAAAGCATGACTGGTTACAATTTGACAATCCCTCAGAACATTCATTGACATCTAAAATAAATTACTAAAAGAATGGTTGTAGCTTATGATAGTACCAGAACAAAATTTTCCAGCTACAAGATTGAACCCATCGTTGCAGGAGCAAGTATAATTCCCGATAGTATTGTTACATAGTTGTTCACAACCTCCATTATTGATACTGCATTCATTAACATCTATTTGATTCATGCATGATAAGCCATTTTTTCTATTTTTAATTTTATAATAAATCTATACCTATGCAATTGTGTCCATCAGCCTCTAGTTGATATCCAAGATCACAAGAACAAGTATAATTACCAATAGTATTAGTACAAATGTGACCACATCCTCCATTATTTGTTGCACACTCGTTAACATCTGTTTATTATGCAATCACATCAATTAAAATTGATTAAATTTATACCTGAGCAAAATTTTCCTCCAGAAAGGACATAGCCAGAGTGGCAGGAACATATGTGACTTCCAACAGCATTTGTACACACATGCTCACAATCACCATTATTAAAACTGCACTCATCAACATCTAAATAATGTAAATATTAATAACTCTCTTGAAGTACACAATTGTAGGTATGGTACGTTTATGCCAGGTCACTATATAAAAACACTAACCTGAACAATTGAATTTATCAGCATTTAAACTGTATCCATTGAAGCATGAACAGTTATAAGATCCTTCTGTGTTCTGGCAAGTTTGTTCACAGCCTCCATTTGAATCATCACACTCATTAATATCTACAAATATAAACAAATCAAATTATAACAATCATTTTAATCAAATTTTCCCACAAACCATGCTAAGTGAACTAAGCAGCATGCTTCATGAGCTGACAATTAAGCACTATAATGGCTTTTGAAGCAGCTTTGAAAATTTGTAAAAATTTCTAATTTGATATAATCAAAAAACTATTACAAAAATGAAGTATTTTCTCCTAGTCATTTTTGGCAAAATTTGGCCAAGGACTCTGTACTACAGGGACGTTTAGCCCAATTTTTTAGTAACTTCAAAAAATTTGTAAAAAATTTAAAAATTGGCTCAAACTTGGTACACAAGATAAGAACATGTAGATGTGTCACAAAAATTATTAAAATGAAGTCATTTTAAACTTTTCAGTCATTTTTGGCCAAAAAACCTGTACAAGGACTTTTGGAAAATTTGTAAAAAAAATCCAAACTGAATTAAAATTAGCTTAAACTTGACATGTATATGATTCAAAAAAATTATAAAAATTGAGAATTCTCTTTTAGCCATTTTTGACAAAATTTGGCCAAAAATCAAAGGCTATAATAAATAGCCTTTCATATTTGGCCAAATTTTTAAGCAAATTAAAAAATTCCTTTAAAAATCTAAGTTTGATTAAAATCAGCTCAAACTTTCTACACATCTTAAATACATGTATGTGTATTAAAAGAAATTATAAAAGTAAAGAATTCTCTCTTTTTCATTTTTGATGAAAGCTGGCCAAAAACGCTGCCCTATAATAAGTGGAGGGACTGTGGTCCAGTTTTTAAGCAACTTTAAAAATTCAAACTCAATTAGAATTAGCTCAATCTTGATACACAACATAAAAACATGTATAATCAGAAAACATTATTAAAATTAAGAATTCTCTCCTAGCCATTTTTGAAAAAATTTAGAAAGATTTTTGAGCAACTTTAAAAATTCTTAACTGAAAAATCCAAAATTGATTGGAATCAAACTTATTTTCTACACAACATAAGTACATGTATATGTATCAAAAAAATATATAAAAAGGAGAATTTTCTCCTTTTAACTTGAGCCAAAGTCTCTGTAATATAGTACAAGGACTTTTGTTTGATATTAAACAACCTTAAAAATTCTTTAAAAATCTAATCTTGATTGGAATCAACTAAAACCTTCTATTTATCAGAAAAATTATAAAAATGGAGAATTCTCTCCTTTTCACTTTTGATAAAATTTAGTTAAAGACCTTGTACTATATATAGTACAGAAAATTTTGAACAACTTTTGTCCAGTTTTTGACAACTTTAAAAATTGGTTAAAAAATTCAATTTTGATTAGAATTAGCTTAAACTTGCTACACAATATAAGAATATTAGAAAAAAGTACAAAAATAAAGAAATCTCTCCTATTTATTTTTAGTACAAGGTCTTTGGCACAATTTTGGAGCAACTTTAAAAATTCATAAAATGTTCAATTTTTATCAAAATCAGGTCACAGCACATAAATATGAGAGAAATGCATAAAAATGGAAAAGTCTCTCCTAATGATTTTTGAAAAAAATACTTGTACTAAGCATATGGTATTTTTTGACAAATTTTGGAGCAATTTTAAAATTCACTGACATAAAACCTGTATGAGCACTGTGCCAAAATCCTGTGGGAAACCATACCTATGCATGTATGATCATCACTGCTAAGCATGTATCCTGTGTAACAAGCACAGGCAAAGCTTTCAATAGTATTAAAGCAGACTTGATTGCAAATGAGTCTTCCCAAGCAATCACCTGTATCTAAAATTCATTTTTAATAATAATAGTTTTTTATTGATAGTATTATACCTAGGCAAGAGTGACCATTAGAACTCAAAACATATCTAGGATAACAACTACATTCATAACTCCCCATTGTATTAGTACAAAATTGATCACATCCTCCATTATTTGTTACACATTCATTAACATCTGTTGATAGAGAAATAAAATTATGAATAATTATTATAACATGTAATAAGTGAATAAAATAATAACTTTGACATTTACAATGCTGAATCTAAATTAACTAATTTTACTATATCAAAGGCATTGAATTTACAGTATAATGGGCACTTACCAATACAAGCGTGGTTATCAGCATTAAGTTGATATCCAAACAGACACTGACAAGCATAGCTACCAACTGTGTTGAAGCACAGGTGACTGCAGTTACTGGTTCCTTCAGTGCATTCATCAATATCTAAAAAATACATGTAGCTCTGAGTAATGCATCAACTTGCTAGTATTATTATACCTGAGCAATAATAATTATTGTATAGTCTGAACCCTTCACTGCATGAACACTGATAGGATGATTCGTTATTAGTACATATTTGTTCACATCCTCCATTGCTGTCATCACATTCATTATCATCTGATAAATTATGATGACTTAATATTGTTACATGATACAATTCTCCATACCAGTGCAGTTCATACTGTTAGTGTCCAATGTGTATCCACTGAGACAAGAGCACCAATAACTCCCATTGCTATTGATACACAGCTGTTCACAGTTTCCATTATTAATTGTACACTCATCAATATCTTAAAGTTAAAAAGTATATTAATTCAATTATCAACTAATACCTTCACAAGTGTGTCCATCAGTATTCAAGGAGTAACCAGATTCACAAGTACAGTAATAGCTACCAGCTGTATTAATACAAGAGTATGCACACCCACCATTGGATATTAAACATTCATTGACATCTATAAAACACAAAAATTGTTCAATGATATCGTAATCAACTATTAACAAAATACCAGTGCAGTTATATTTATCAGTGGTCAAAGAGTAACCAGTGTCACAAGAACAATAAAAGCTACCAATTGTGTTGTTACATAAATCAGAGCAGCCTCCATTCAATGTATTACACTCATTGATATCTGAAATAATAAACACTAATTTTGCATTATTATAGTCATTTTTACCTTGACACATGTGACCATCATTGCTCAAAATAAACCCAGTATAACAAGTACAGGTATAATTTCCAGGTGTATTAAGACACAACTGGTTACAGTTGGACAATCCTTCAGAACATTCATTGATATCTAAACAATTGTTAATGGTTAGAGCTTTTCATGACTATCTTTACCATCACAAGTTCTATTATTATCTGCTAATCTATATCCTGATTTACATGAACAGGTGTAAGAACTATTAGAATTGTGACACAATTGCTCACAAGCATCGACATTATCAACACATTCATTAAAATCTATGACAAAATAAGAAATAGACTAGATATTTTAAATTTATTACCAGAGCATCCATGAGCATCATCATCAAGAGTATATCCATTGTTACATTGACAATAATATGATCCAACTTGATTAACACACACTTGAGCACAGCCTCCATTATTAGCAACACATTCATTGATATCAGAACATGTAAGTCCATTTGATAGCTGATAACCTGGCTCACAGTCACAGACATAACTACCATTAGTGTTATAGCAATTGTGTTCACATAAATCTGTACCATTAGTGCACTCATTGATATCTGAAATGAAAGTTAACAATGTACAACTACTGGAACATTAATTTAGGTAACAAACCATCACAATCAATCAGGTTATTATTCAGTTGATATCCATTCCCACAGTTACACTGATAGCTACCAAGACTATTAACACACAACTGAGAACAACCACCATTATTCAGCAGACATTCATTTGTATCTATAATCATAGGTATTATTTTACACAAAAAAATTTTTGTTTTTGTCTACCTGTGCATATTTTTTGATTTTCCATCAGATGATAACCAGTCATACAAAAACATAAATAAGATCCATCGGTGTTAATACAGTTCTGATTACAGACATTATCGCCAGTAACACATTCATTAATATCTATGATTAAAGACAGCATAAAGCCTCTTGACATATATCACTTACCATTACAGCCATGCTTGTTAGCATCGAGTGTATAGCTGTTATTGCATGTACAGTAATAACTACCAATTGTATTGTGACAAAACTGCTCACAGCCTCCATTGTTAACTAGGCATTCATTCACATCAATATCTGTCCAAAATATATTCTTATATTAAAAAGAGCTTTAAAAGTACATGTAGATACTTGTGCAATTGTCTTCAGGTGTACATGAGCAGTAAAAGCTTCCAGCAGTATTGTGACAGGTATGTGGGCAACCACCATTATTCATGTTACACTCATTGATATCTAAATGAAAACTCACTTAAAGAATAGTTGTAACTTATGATAGTACCAGAACAAAATTTTCCAGCTACAAGATTGAATCCATCATTGCAGGAGCAAGTATAATTCCCAATAGTATTGTTACATAGTTGCTCACAACCTCCATTATTGATACTGCATTCATCAACATCTATTGGAATAAATTTTTTACAATACTGCAAATTATTATTCCAGGTTTAATACCTGAACAATTAAATCCATCAGTGTCCAAACTATACCCATCTAAACAAGAACAATAATAGGATCCTTGTGTGTTTAGACAGGTTTGATCACAACTCCCATTTGAATTACCACACTCATTAATATCTACAATAAAAATACATGAATTACCAGTGGTATAGTATAAGTACCCAGGCAAGTATGGTTGTCACTGCTGAGTACAAATCCAGAATAACATAAACAAATAAAACCATCAGGTGATCCAGGAGAGTTGGTACACTGCTGATTACAAGTATCTGCCCCTAAGCAACCACTATCAGTGCCTAATACATGTACATCTTAATGGCACACCAATTAAAAATATAAAAAATTATACCCATATCACAGTTATAACCATCAGATGACAATACATATCCAGTATAACAACTACACTGAAAACTTCCAACAGTATTAATGCACACTTGAGAACAGTTTGAAATGTTTTGGGAACACTCATTGATATCTAAACAATATACATGGTACATTTTTATACACTATAGCTACCTACCTGAACAGAAAACATTGTTGTTTAACTGGAAACCGAAAAAACATGAACAGTAAAAGCTTCCATCTGTATTTGTACATTCATTCTCACAGCCACCATTAGCAATAGAGCACTCATCAATATCTATCATAAAAATTACTTTTGCTAATTGATAAATCTTGATTATACCAGTGCAATTCAGTTCAATAGGATCAAATGAGTAACCAGTACTACAATCACATGTGTAGCTTCCAAGTGTGTTTGTACATGTATAACTACACCCACCATTATCAATAAGACACTCATTGATATCTAAAAAAGTTTATAGTACCATGTGTTTGTAAATGAATTGCACAAGTATACCTGTACAATTGTGTTCATCAGCATCTAACGTATAACCAGGCTGACAAGAACAAGAGTAGCTACCATTAGTATTGACACAAGTAGAGTCACCACAACCACCATTGTCAGTAAGACATTCATTAATATCTAGAAAAATAGATTATAGTGTCACATACAGTTAGAGTAAATATTTACCATCACACAAGTGACCATCACTATTTAGTGTGAAACCAGCTGTGCAATTGCAAGTATAACTACCATTAGTATTTGTACAGTTTTGATCGCAGAGTCCTTGAAGACACTCGTTGATATCTGTAGTAATAACTATAACTAAAATAATTTTCAATGAGCTAACCTATACACATGTGACTATCATTGCTCAGCTTGTATCCAGCATTACAACTACACAAGTAACTGCCAATAGTGTTAGTACACACTTGAGAACATCCTGATATACCTTGTTGGCACTCATCAATGTCTAACATTACAGAATACATTAATACATTATTAATCCATTAATGCATATAGTATCTTTACCACGACATGTGACACCAGCTATATAATTAGAGTAGCAATATCTTAAGTAGTTTGATCTCATGTAGCAATCCAATAGTCTTGTTTCAGAGCCAGAACAATCAAAGTATCCATAAACAAATGAATAATCTTCAGGAGCATTGAACTGATTGTATGCAAATGCCACTGAGCCTATAAAAAAATTCAGTATTTGTAACAGGTATAAATAAAGCACTTACCATAAGAATGAAATCCAAGCTCTCCACATACTACATTAGCTTCAGTAGTACCCCAATACCATCCACTGCACAAATAAGTCCAGGCATTGTTGTAACAAATTTGGACACTTCCTTGATTCATTGTCTGTCCTCCAACTAATCTCAAATCCCCATTAGTGCAGTTCACATACTCAGTTGTTATTGCTATTGTGAATTATAATTGACTATCATATATTTTTCAGTAATTACTTACATTGACATTTAACTGAAGCCTGCTGTGATTGTGAACAACTATATCCAGCTACACTGGTTACAGAATATGAACAATTAAAAATACTATCTTCACTCCCATTACAGTAAACTGCATAAAATCCAATTGGCCAAAAACTTTGAGAATATTGACTATTACTTGCCCAAGCACCTTAAAATAGGAATGCTGTATCATTTTGTCATTGATTTATAGCTAACCATAAGGCGAATAACCCAATTCTGAGCAAACTACACTAGCTTCTGTATTTGTCCAGTGATAATTACATATTGTGAACCATGTATTGTTAATGCACACTTCTATTTGCTGAGGTAAGCCAAGAGTTCCTGAATGAAGTCTAATGCTTTCATCAATGCAGGGCTCTAATGGAAAGTAATTACAAATATTCAACATATACATGATGTTATACTTTCACAAGTCACTCCGGCATCATTATAGTTGCATGATGATATATAACAAGACTGATGAGAGCAATCAAGAAGTGATGACTCATCTCCATTACAATATAGGTGTGACATAAGAATAGGACCAGCTCCTGAACTGACAGATTTTACTTCTCCTCTGATATTACTAAAATAAAATAAATGTACATGAATATAATACATTACATAAAACATACCCTAATTGCTTGCACACAATAGAAGCCTCTCGGTTATCCCAACTGTATGAGCAGATGCTTCCCCAAACTTGATTGATACATATTTCAACTCTACCATCGTATTCTGTACTACCACCAACCAGCCTCACTTCCCCACTTGTACAGTTAGCCTGTTGAGGGTTCCCTTTACACGATAGTAGAATAATTGTTTTAATACTAAATGATGGCATACTTTGACATATAACACTTGCATCACCATAAGACGGGCAGTTTTGTAGCACAGCATTACTATGTGAACAATTAAGCAAATGATATTCATTACCGGTACAATTAAGATCAGTAATTCCAAAGGAAAGTTGACCTTCAGTTAAGCAATTATAAGTTGGTAAAGCACCTACATTGAATGTATGTATAACAACATATGTTTACAATATGAATTAACCAAGTGATGAGAATCCAAGCTGTCTACAAACAACTTGTGCATCTTCATGACCCCAACTTTGATCACAAAGTGTAGTCCAAATATTATCGACACAAATTTCAACTCTTCCAACATTAGTGGCACCAGTATTAGAACCTGCTAGTCTCACTGCCCCATTTTCACAATTATCTACATGTAAAATAGTAAAATACCAGTAGATGACAGAAACAATGTATCAGATTTATACCAGTACAAACAACACCAGCAACTGCACCATCACCACAGTAAAGAGCAGCATCAACAAAATCATTGCTACAACTCAAAACTGAAGACTCAGTTCCAGAACATCCAATTTTAGATACAATATGAGGACTTGGACCATTTCCAAAAAAGCTTCCAGCAAATGAAACAGCACCTGCATAAAAAAATATTGTACAGTATGCATTACACTGCTGATGGCAGGTAGTTTTACATGGAAGGGCAGAAAAATAAATTTACAGATGGTATAAGCAATTTAAATAATTCATTGCTTCAATCCCTGCGTTTTCAAACACATGCATTTACCTTGTGTTAGGAATCCTAATTGTCTGCAAACTGCTTGAGCATCATAGTTACTCCATGAATCATCACAAACTTGTCCCCAGAAATTATTGTAACACATTTCAACGCGTCCTTCAAGATCATTAGTACCACCAACCAACCGAATATCCCCATCAGTACATGTCAGATCAATGTATTGTGTAATGTTAGCTAGCAGTATAAAAAGTACATGAATATAAAAAAATCTAAGTGAGAGGCATAGTAACATATTAGTATACTATTTAATATTAAAAAACTATCAATATAGGCATCATAAAACTTGCTTTTAATTCTCACATACTTTGACAAATCACAGCAGCATCATAATACTGGGAGCAAGTATATGACCCTCTCTCAATGTAAGGACAATTCATTATCATGTCTTCTGTTCCAGTGCAATTCAAATCAAAGAGCAAAATAGGAACACTTCTGTCATAAAACCGCCAATAAGGAATATCGCTGACAACTCCTTCAAATGGCAAACAATTATACACATAAATGATATTTTATTATGCTAATTTCAGTAAATCTTTTACTACTTCATTATCTTACCATAAACAGAATAGCCTAATTGTCTACATACTACTGTAGCATCATTGTCATCAAAACTATCTCTGCAGACAGTTCCCCAATCACCATTAATACAAACCTCCACTCTACCAACTGTTTCATAGCCAGACCCAGCAATGCGAACACTACCATTTATACATGGTTCTAAATATAAAATAACAAACTACTCTGCTCTAATTAGAAGTACAAAAGCTACCTCGACAAGTTGCACCAGCATAGTCACCATAATAATAATAATAGCTGTAATAGCAATTGGAAGTGGATTGTGTGCAATCCAGCAAAGAACTTTTAGCGCCACTGCAAGAAAACTCGTATGGGTACAATGGAATGTCTGGAAGGTTACTAAAATTATCAGAGTATCCATTGCCTGTTGCAATAAACTATAAATACTAAACTATTGTAAAATGAAAAAACCTGGTATGTATCCAATCATTTTACAGACAACTGAATATATACTATGATAAATGTCTCCACACACACCATACCAAACATTCTTATAACATAGTTCAACACGACCCTCCAAAGAACCAGATAATCTAGTTTGACCAGTTGTACAATTTGAGTAGCTGGCTGAAAAAGCTACAAAGAGAAAACAGTGGCCAATGATTTCTAATGCCTTACTCTGACATGCTACTCCTGCAGTATAATAACTTGAAGAGCAAATATATTGCCCTAATAAAGCATTCTTGGGACAACTTCTAATATTTTCTTCACTACCAGTACAGTTCAAGTCAAGAATACTAATTGTTAACCCCCCAGAGTAGAAATTACCATTCACTGCTATTGCACCTAATGTAGTGAAAAAAATCAAACTTTAATTATGCTAAAACTGCCAGAATAATTCTGAGACATGGTCAATATGATGACTCATCATGGGGTTACATGAACATGTACATCATAAAATCACCAATATAGTATACAAATTAACATACCTATGGATGAGTAACCTAACTGTCTACATACAACAACAGCATCATTATCATCAAAGAAATCCCTACAAATTACTTTCCATACACCATTGGTACACACCTCTACTTTCCCAATCAGATTTGAGTAGCTACTGTATGGAATAATATTAACTTCACCATTAGTACAATCTAATGATTGACAATTCTTTGATTTCTAAAATAATCATTCTATTCTTACTATGACATCTAACGGCAGCAACAGTTCTTCCATCACAATTTGAAGTCCTGGTGAAGTGAGAAAAAGAGCATTGAGTGATCAGAGTATCAGTACTGGAACAACCCAGATCAGTTACCATTAGCACGTCATTCTCAGTAAATTTACCATAATACAAAGTGAAGGCTGGGTGGTTCAAAATAAATGATTTAAAAATCTATTATAGAGTATTTACTATCTGTTGGGTATCCTATTTGTGAACAAACAACTCTCATGTCATGTTGACTAACAGAGCTACTGCATAGAAGTCCCCACACTCCATTAATACATATCTGAATTTTTCCTTCATTAGGAATTTCCCCATCAACCAATCGGACATCAAAGTCAGTGCAGTTTGAATACTGTGTGTTTAAGTCTGAAAAAGTACAATAACTTAACTACATGCAATATACACTTGTACATGTACATACTTTGACATATCACACCAGCATCTTCAGAACTGTAACAGTTTGAACCAGATACAAGCTGCAAACTATATGGACAGTCTATTAGATTTGCTTCAGTACCAGTACAGTTGATCGAATATAAATTGTGGGCCAAAGTATGTACCAAGTAAAAGGTTTTTTTTGGTATGGAACCTGAAAACAGCACTATAAGTTATTATAACTAAATCATTATGCTTTACCAAAGGGAGAGAATCCAAGTTGTCTACAGACAACAGTAGCATCATTATAGTCCCAGTAATCATCACATATAGTGCCCCAAGTATTGTTGAAACATATCTCAACACGACCAAAATCAGTATATCTAGCATCACCCTTTAAACGTACATCACCATCTGAACAAGGAGCTGCACAGAACATGTATCACATAACCACACCATAAACAATTACCTTCACACATAACTCCAGCATCATAAGAGTAAGAGCAAGTATAAGTGGCATAAGAACAATTTAGTAAATTAGTCTCTGAGCCGGAACAATAAAATCTTGCATTGTGCACTTGTCCTACTCCTTTTCCAAACGAATTAGCAACAACAGCACCTAATTAAAAGTTAGCAAATAAGCAACTTTACTGCATGCATATCAAATTAAACTTGCCAGATGAAGTGTAATTTAGCTGCCTACAAGCAACTTTAGCATCACTAGTACCCCAACTAGAGGGACATATTGATCTCCATGAGTTTCCATAACACAGTTCAACTCGGCCTTCATACTGCAACTGACCACCAACTAATCTGATGTCACCAATTGATGTGCAATTATTACCTGTGCTAGGGGCTATTTTATAATTATTTTAGTGAACATAATATGTACATGTACATGTACCTGTACAAGTTACATAAGCATCATCATATTGATTGCAGTTGACAGACTCAACATTGCTATGAGAACAATTAAACACACTTTCCTCATTTCCTTCACAATTGAGATTAGTGATATGAAAAAATTTATAACCTTCAGTGTAAGAGTTTTGGCCTGCAACAGCTCCTATAAAATAATTTACAGATAAGTAAACCTTGATCATCAAATTTCATAAATCAACTGACCTTGAGCTGAAAATCCCAACTGCCTGCATACAACAGAAGCATCATTGTTGTCCCAGTTATTATCACAAATAGTACCCCATGTTGTGTTAACACACACTTCCACTCTACCAATGAGAGGATTACTACTACCTATCAGTCTAATTTCACCATCAGTGCATGAAGCTATTGCCAAAAATAAAATTGTATTATATCAACATTACAAAAACTTACGCTGACATTGGATGCCAATATCATAACTATGAGAACCATAGGGGATAATATAATGATTATAAATGTTACAGTTCAGCAATGAATTGGTTATTGATGAACAATATGTATAACTCATTAGTATAGGACCAACACCTTCACCATAGTAAGCATAACGAACAAAAGATGCACCTACAAATGTAATCAAATTAACTGACATGTAAAAACTAACATTTCAAACCTGGTGTTGTGTATCCTAGTCCATTACAAATAGTCTGAGCAGCATTATAAGACCAAGTCCAGGAAGATATTGTTCCCCAAGCATTGTTACGACATATTTCAACAGTTCCTTGATATTTAGTAGATCCACCAAACAGCCTTAACTCTCCATCAGTACAATTGGAATAAGTTGATCCATGAACTGATAATATTAATAGATTAAGGGAATAAATGTTTAATACCTGGACAAATGACACTAGCATGATAGTAGCTAGAGCTCCCACAGCTAGCACTGTTATTCATAGGACAGTTTACGAGACTAGACTCATTCCCAACACAATTAATTCCCCTGAAAACATTTATTAACTGTGAATTATAGTACCATGTAGAATCACCAGCCAATGCTCCTATTAGAAGTTAAAATGTAAAAAAAGAACAGTTCACATTTACCATATGGTAAGTATCCTAATTGTCTACAGACAACACTAGCATCTTTATCATCCCAATAATCAGTGCAGAGAGAGCCCCACTGTCCTCCAGTACACATCTCAACATGTCCATAATAACTAGAGCTCACACGTATATCACCATCAACACATTGCTCTATTGTGATTGTTAATTTATATTTTGCATGTACTCTATAATAGTTCAAAGTTACCTTGACATGCTATTTTGATGACTTGACGATTTGAACAAACTAGAGTAGAGGTCAGCCCAGAGCTACATTGAGTCAAATTAGCTTCACTCCCAAAACAGCTAAAATGACTGAATATGACTGGATACTCATTTGTAGACACAACAACTTGATAGCCTATTTATTAAGAATTGAAAACATTAATGTTAAAGCATGCTATAACAGTATAACACTATGAACTAAAATATGCAACTTATAAGAGAGAGTGAGAATGAGAGATAAATTGATCTTTAACACAAATAAAGCTCAATATACAAGTGTACAACTATATAATTCAAATAAAATATTTACTTTTTGGATCATATCCTAATTGACGACATGCTACTGTAGTATCTCGACTATCCCAAAAACGTGAACACACAGTACCCCATGCTCCATTAGCACACACATGTAATATACCCTCCATTGGACTAGAACCACCATAAAGTCTTATGCTACCATCAGTACAGTTTACTGGACCATTGATAGTATCTATTGCAAAAAAACACAAATCACATTTTATGAAGTAATTTTTAGTCGAGTGTGTTTCTCTTTCAAATGAAGCATACAAGTACATGTACGACTTTTTACATGTACACATATAACTGACACGTATAGATAGTTCTTGGAATGTGTGCACACGCTACATGTACATGTAAACTGTATAAATTCTAAATAAACATGCAAAAAATGTCAATCACCAGCCAGTATATTTTCTCAATTGCTTTTTCACTACACAACTCACTTAAAGAACACATAACCCCAACAGCATTAGAACATGTTCCTATAGTATCATATTGACAGCCATGTATACTTGATTCAGTTCCGTTACATTTTATATTAAAAACCATATCATATGTAGAAGTCCATAATCCTACAACACTTTTAGCTCCTATGTCCATTGTAAATAAATGCATACACAGTTGATTTTCTAGTACCATATTTTGAGTATCTTAATTCATTGCACACAACTGAGGCAAGATTATTATCAACAGTTGAATTTCCTTGTCCACACACTGCCCACCAAGTGTTGTTAATACAGATTTGCACATTGCCATTTCTTTGAGAATCACCATTATACAATCTAACTTGACTATCAGTACAGGGATCTGCTTGAAAATCACTACAGTACATTCATTCTACAACAAAAACTCACGTTCACAAACAACTCCAGCCTCATGCTGGTAGCTACTGCATGATGAAGAATAGGAAGGATACCAACCCAAACTACAGCTTAAAAAGTCAGGAGAATTATCAAAACAAGTAGAGTAGTAGACATGGAGTGGTCTAAATCCGATTCCAAAATAGGAATTTGTTGTATAAGACAGTCCTGTAAAACAGGTTTTGTAAGCAGCTATTAATTACAGATAAAGTTAGTACAACATTCATAATAATAATAATTCTATACTATGAAATAATGGCCAACAGAAAGCTTTCAAATATTTTGAGAAATTCTATGACTTATTAATCATTTTAGTTATAAAAATTTGCTTATACATGTAGACTTATAAAAAAACGTTAAGTTGAAGTCTATTTAAGCTCCCATGCATGTTTAGAAAAAAAAGTAAAATAAAGGTTATACCTCTGTATCCAAGCTGCTTGCACACCACATTTGCCTCATATTGATCCCATCCATAATCACAAACAGAGCCCCAAACTCTATTCACGCATAATTCAACTCTTCCTTCATAATCATTGGATCCACCAGTCAGTCTAATATCACCAGTAGAACAGTTTGATATCTGGACATTGTTTACTAAATAATACATAAAAAAGAGAGAGAAGAGGAAAGGAACAACAAAGGAGAAAGTAAAGGGAGGGCAGAGTATCAAAAGAGGCATAAAATATAGCTTACATTGACAAATCAAAGCAGCATCATTATACAGGTAACAATAATTGTTATTTTGATTGTGAGAACAATCTAAAATGGAATTTTCTTGTCCAGTACAGTTTAAATCCCTGAAGTGAAAAGGCCAAGTACCCTCACGAAAACTAGTGGAGATTGTTTTTGCACCTTTGAGTGAGGAAAGAAAGAAAACAAAAAGAGAAACAGAAAAAGTGAAAATTTCAGTAATTGCTGTTGCTTACATACCGTAAGGAGAATACCCCAACATCCTACAGACTACAGTAGCAGCCTTTTCATTCCAATAATAATTATCACAAATGGTTCCCCAAAGGTTGTTAAGACAAATTTCTACACGTCCATATCTCCTGTAATAGCTGTTCGATTCACTAACCAAGCGTACCGTACCATTCTGACAAGGGGCTAAGGATATTTATTTAGTAATAAAATTAGATTTATTAACTTATACTATACCTTCACAACTGATTCCAGCATCATAAGAATGACCACAAAAAGAATATTGAAAAGGTTGTCTGTAATAGCACTGTAGCATATTACTCTCAGACCCTGAACAACCAACATAGCTCATAAAGATAGGACCAGACCCAGGCTCAAACTGAGAATATGATGATGAGCCTGCAACAACAATAATATAACCATTATTATTTTTTATGAGCAAAAATGAATGTACCTAATCCCATGTGTCCTAGTAGTCTGCAGACTACATTACTATCCCCAGTACTCCAACCATATCTACAGATTGTGCCCCATGCTCTGTTAATACACACTTCAACTCTTCCTTCATATTCTGTACTACCACCAACTAATCTAACATCACCATCAGTACAATTAGCCACTGGAGTCAAAATATCTATGAATTAAATGAACTAAGGTTTATAATTAGTATGATAAAATAACAGTAAAATTTTTTTCCTTAATTATTTACTTAGTCATTGAAGTAAGCAGGATTAATTATAGTAATTTAATGAATTATATATAAGTATTCAATCATAAAACTCCATACCTTGGCAATAGACAGTGGCATCATAGCTGCCACTACAGCTAGCAGTGCTATGTGAACAATTCCATATGCTTTCTTCAGTTCCATTACATGTCACATTAAAAAGATAATGTGATTTATAATATTCTATGTAGTATCCTTGAAGACTGACAGCACCTACAAATGATGCAAAATAGATACAAAAAGGACAAAAAACATTAAATATTGTGGCACAAATTTACAAAACAATAAAGCAATAACATTAAAGCAATTTGTGGGATTAATGGGATAAAATAAGATACCACCTGCAGTGTTCAAAACTTAAGTACCATAAATCTGGTATATTTTGAGTGATGGCAATTTTATACATGTAGGTATTTAGAAGTCAGGCAGCATATACAATTTTCAAACATCTAAATTTTTCATCCGTATTTTATAGCAACCAGATTTACAATACTCCATCACAACTCTTTGTATGTCTAAATTATATGGCTGTACATGAATTAGACAAATACTCTGACTACCATCAAGAGAGTGAATAATTATTCACTCTTACTATCATGATTATTATATAATTTCAATATTATATTAATTATCATCTGATCATACTTACCATAAGAAGAATATCCCAAACTCCTGCAGATGACACTAGCATCAGTATTATCAACATACAAACTGCATATAGTACCCCAGTTACCATTTATACATACTTCTACTCTACCAACTGATGCCTTAGGACCTTCAGTCAGTTGAATAGCCCCGTCATCACAAAGAGCTGTTTCAAAAAAAATAACAATAGATTAATTAATGTCTCAAAACTGAAGATTCTGCTAATGTGTCAAATATCTAATTTAAAAATATTACAATAATACATATTCATTAACATTGAATTTGATTAGCATGCATAATGTAAAAAGCTTACGTTCACAAGTTATTCCAATATCATACTGATGACTAGTACAATAACCAGACTTGACAGAAAAAACATTCCTTTGACAGTCAAACAATGACTGTTCATTTCCATTACAGTAAAGATAGCCAAAAGCAATGACCCCATCACCTTGACCAAATGTACCAGTACTGTATGTAGATCCTAATATTAAATTTTAGTGAGATAAAGTTAGTTAAAATTAATAGACATTAGTATTATTTCTTGGAAATAACAATATACAGATGCATGTACGATGCTGATTATCTATGTTTTACCTAATGCTTGATGCCCCAGTTGCCTGCAAGCTACTTGAGTATCACTCATGTCCCAGCTCTGGCTACAAACAGTTCCCCAGTTCTGATTCACACACACTTCAAGTCTCCCAGCAGATTCTATTAGCCCATCAACTAGCCTAATATCACCAGTGGAGCATAAATCAGATTCAAGTGTAGCATCTGTGCATAAAATACTGATTCCAACACACAATATTAAATCATTATTTACTCCTGCATATGACTTCAGCATCATGACTTGATCGGCAGTTAAAGAAGTTAATAGTTCCATTAAAAGGGCAATCCAATATCATACTTTCATTACCAGTACAATTGAGGTCCAGTATGCTCACTGGGAGGTCATATCTATAATAGTATCCATTGCCTGAGACAGCACCTATACAAAGCACAACAATGAAATGAATATCATTAACTTGAAAAACAATTTTATCTTTATGAATAACACTAAGGCAATACATGATACTGTAACTAACCATAAGGTGAGAACCCCAACTGGTTACACAGAACTGATGCATCCTCATAGTCCCAGTAATCACTACAGACAGTACCCCACAGACCATTAGAACAAACTTCAACTCTACCATAAGTTGAATCACTAGTACCTCTCAGTCTTACAGCTCCATTTGAGCAGTTTCCTAGTAAATTGTTCATAATGAAAATAAACGTGTTGTTGATAATGATTGCACTAACTTTCGCATCGGATTGCAGCATCATAATAGTGACGATTCTGACAATAAAAATTTGCATGATAGAAGTTTGGTGTACATTCCAACAGATTAGCCTCATTTCCATTGCAACTAAAATACCCAAATAAAACAGGCCCATAACCTTGAGCAAATCCAAACCCAGCCACATTACCATACTCCACATTAACTACATGAGAAAATGCATAATGAAATCAAATACTGTACACTATACTAGCCTACTGCGATTATCTCCAAGCTGATTACAGACAACCCGAGCTGCATTTATATTCCAACCACTAGAGGTGCATACACTACTCCAAACTTTATTTACACAAACTTCAACTCTTCCTTCATCCTGTTTAGATCCTCCAACAAGACGAATATCACCTGAGGTACAATTGCTCACATTCACAGCTCCAATACCTAAAAATGAGCACACACAAGTAAGTTTGCTTTACAATAATCTAGTGTATGCATACTGTAGCAAAAAACGTTAGCATCTCTGCTCAGGGAACAAGGATAGCTGCTGTATCCATTGTAAGGGCAGTTAATGATGTTACTTTCAGTACCAGTACAATTTACATCAATCATCTTATGAGATACTGTACTGGAAGAGTAATATGTATATAAAAGACCAATTGCACCTGAAAGAAATATCACACCAATAGATACTGAAAACACTATGCACCATATGGTGAGTATCCTAACTGTCTACAGACAACACTTGCATCTTCATTGCTCCAGAAATCACGACAAATGCTGCCCCATCCACCATTCAAGCAGACCTCAACAGCTCCATATGTAGAACCAGAGGACTGTAAACATGTGTAGTCAATCCATCAACTTGTATCATAACAGGAACTTACCAAACGTATAGAGCCATCAGTACAAAACTGAGCAAATATTGCATTTATGCAAAAATAAAGAACAAAGAAAATCCTGCAAAGACACTCCATCATGTAGTCTGTGTAGGAGAGAAAACTGCAACAGCAAAAAAACAAGCCCACCTTCAATGATTTTCTTACAAAATGATATTCATTATTCATACAGAGTTCAAGGGTTGGATGACTTGGATCCCCCACCTGACTAGTAATCTGTACAAAATTCATTATTAAACTATGTACTAAACAAATAACCATCTTCATAATGAATCTTATTTTTTCTGCTAGCCTCTGTAATGCATCCATTGTTGATAGCAATAAAAGGGTGTGGGCCAAGGGTAATACACTGCCTCAATTGAAAGGAACTTAAAGGCTTCACTGAAATTATGTATTCATCTTCCTCTACAAAATTAGGTAGAATACCCAATAGTATATTATATACCCTTTTATCCTTTGATTGCTAAAAAAGATAGTAAAAATTGTTTAAGAAACGTCATCTGGCAAGTTGCCTACAAAAACTGACCAATAACAAAATTGCAACTCAAGTTTCCAACAGATCTGCTGCTAGGTACTAAGGCTATTTTTAACACATATCTTTGATGATGAACAAATTTTTCATATGCAGTATCCACCCACATTACTGATGGCAAGAAGGCCTCAGAATTAAATGTGGTGAAAAACGCTAAAATTTAAGGGCACAATTAATACCCACCCTAAGGTAATCCAATAGAGTCTTATAAGTTTCCTAACTTCCTATGCTATAGTAATAGTAAAGGATTATCTCTCAAATCAACTGCATGTATAGTACATCAAAAATGGCTAAAAGAGAATACAATTTTTTCTGATGCATATACATGTACTTTTATGCATGTATGTTGTATTTAAAGTTTAAGCTGATTCTGATCAATCAAAAATTAGGTTTTTTACAAATTTTTAAAGCTACTCAATAATCTGGAGCCAATTTTAAGAAAAAAACCATTGATTATAGTACAGGGTATCTTTTAGAAATTGGTCAATTTTCTAAAATGGCCATAGCTCAAACTTTTAGTTGGAATCAGCTCAAACTTTTAGTTGGAATCAGCTTAAACTTTCTAGATTTACATAGCACAAGGATCAGAATGTCCATATGTATCAGGAATTGTAATTAAAATTTCAGAGCCATTTTTTAGAAAAAACTATGAGCTATATTGTACAGGGTATAGTATTAGGGGGGCTGGGGGTAGGGTATACATGATATTGTGGAACATAAAATTGAGAAATGTTCAGTACAAAAATTACTTTCAAAATTATGTAATCTCAAGAAGTTTTAAAACCTAGTTCCTTCCACTACACCATAAGCAGCACATTCTTTCATTGATAGTTCCGACTGAGGAACAGGTAAATGTACATTCTCATACTGTGGATTAGGTTCTTGTTCTTGTGAATCTGTAATACAATATACCATGGTAAGTCTTTAAAATAAATTAACATACTTCGATTATTTGTCCCTTTCCTCTTGCAGTAACACACAGTTAATGTAACATTAATCATTAGTGATAGTATGAGGAATACACTCAATACACTAATCACTATTGCTGTATTAATGCAAAATTAATGGTAAAAGTAATTCAAATAAATTTATTGCTTACCACTAGTGACAGGTACTTCACTTTGACTTTCCGTTATATTACAATCCTCCATCATCATGGTAGATCTAACTGTAGAGGAAACTGTAGTTGTTACGTAGCTTGTCAAGATAGTTGACACAATGGGAACTTTATCAATATTAATACCAGTTATTACAGCAGCAGAATTAGTAGTACAGTCCTCCAACGATTCACATGCATACAACGTTAGGTTATTACCAGCCAGTATGTTAGTAGTACACTGAATGAAGTACAATTGATCATTAGGGGCTATATTGTAATACACTGGTTGGACTGGCTCATCATAATTAGTTATGTGAATATAAATATTATTAGTTGTACTGCCATTGACAAACTGAAACTGAAGACAAACTTCGTTAAATGTAGTATTAACCACCACTGTGTGCTGAAGATCATAAGTACCTTAGTAATTATAAAATACTAATAATTAGTATAAATATATGCCACTTACTAACTATTATAGTGTTGCTTTCGAATTTTACTCCATTTTGATAGTACAAGATAACAGTATTCAGCATCTCTTTTAATGGAAGATTTATAATAGCAACAAGTGAAATGTTATTATAAGCACTATGATTAATGGTTATATTTGTTGATGCATAACAAGAATTATTATTAACAGTACATAGTGTAATATTAACAAGTGACACTCCAGTACACAACTGACGAGCCTGTATAATGTAAACAAAGTTGTGTGGATGTTGTACATTAAGGTAACTTACTGGAAAAAGGAAATAAAGGTACCAATACTTGTTTATGTGATATGTATAAGAATCTTGATAAATGATTGAAATTCGTGAATCTATGAAGAAAAATAATAAATCAATTCATTACAGTAACTACTTACTTGATTGAAATCCAACTGATATGTCACTAGTAGATCCATTTCCAGCTTTATTAGTAGTTGTAATGTTAAAAAGATATTGTTTATTGGTTAGGTTCATTGGGCAGTAAGTGTAGTTAGTGATAGAATCATTAAGGTACTGTTGATCAGTTCCTACACTGATTATATACTGTACTGTTAGTCCTGGTAGTGTGAATGGAGGATACCAACTGATAAACATACAACAAGAATCTAACTGATATCCTGTTAAATTATTGACACTATCAGGTGGACCTGTCCATGAAAATACTTTACCACAAATCTGTAATATTGACTATTACCTTGAACATAAAGATAAGCAGATTCAGTGGCAGTTCCATTAAATGTTATGCAAGTAATGTCAGTTCCATTTAATGCATATGTTGCTGTTAGATTAAATGATATCATCTTTCCACCATTAGGTAATGTAACAGATGTTTGTGAAGGTAGTGGTGCTCCTCCAATAAAAATAAAAATACTATATCCAGCCTTACGGTCTCATTAGTAGCACATTTAAATGTCACAGTATCATTGACATATACATATTGTGTCACTGGTACAATAGTGAAGATACTTCCTGAAGCTAAATTATTAGATTTAAGTAAATCTACTTGGTAGTGACTCACCAAAGCAAGAGCAAAGCACAAAAAAGATTGCTGCCAAAATTTCTATTTCCATCATGATAAAAATTGAGTCGTGGAAGGTGTGGCTCTAGTCTGGTCTAACCACGCCTGCTCCTTGCTGCTTGTAATTGGCACTAATTGCTGTACTGTGTCTATAAAGCGAGCTATAAAGTGTCTATGATGGCACTGTCTATCGATGATATTGATGAAAGTACAGTCCTTATACAGACAGAAGGCTTTGGAATAAATGATGAAGAAGATGAACCGTGTATGGCTGAACGAACCAGTCATATTTCAGCCCGAGTACAGGTAATTTTAGAAGCTCAGTGCCAGCAGTGCATGCAGTGGGGCAGGCCTGCATGGCTCTCATTTCAAGCATAGAGTTTACTAAAAGCAATTTAGATATTAATCTATATGTTGTTAAATTGTAATGTATTTTTTATCCTTCTTTCTTACTATTTGATTGTCTACTTGTCTATGTGTACCATTGTGTGTGCATGCATGTGTGTGTATCCTCTTTGTGGTATTCTCCTCTTTTACTGGCTGGATAGTATCCTATGTCAGACCATCAGTGTTTCTACTGTACTTTCATTTTTCTTCCCTGTCTGTCTACTTTATGTTGCACAGTAAAATCAAATAATAAAATAATAAATAAATAAAAATGAAATAATACATGTATTTTCATAAGTGTTTATGGAATTTGGAAACCAAGGGCAAAGTCCAAGGTTTAAACACTTCATAGGAGGTGTTTATCTGTTTTAAACATATTCATAATGGATAAACACCTCAAAACATATTCATGGAAGCATATTAGGCTCAAGTGTTGTGTACACTTGTTTATGTAGAGGTATCCATAGCATTTGGAAACCTCATTCATATCATTAACATGAAACAGAATTATTCACAAATAGTTCAAATACAATTAATTTCAAATTATCTTTACCCAGAAGGAGAAATCTCATGCTTTCTGTGTAAAAGCTGTAACAAGTACAGCAGTACATTGTTTGTTAAAAGAATATTTGAATGATCACTATCTTACTGAATCTGTGAATCATGAAATGAAACTACCTATACAACAGTTCCATTTACAATGATTATGCAATGATACAGCGTTTCTTTTGATGTGCAGCCATTTTTGACTATGCCCACCAAATTCATTAAGCAACATTTCATGGGCAGTTGATACCAGTTTGAATGAATAACATGAGCTAGTTTTTTAAATCTAAGTTCTATAGTCTATAATATGCAATATGCATAAGTAATCTACTCTATTTTTATAATTTAGAACTTTCTTAATTCTATTAAATGCCTTGCAAAAATAATAGAGGAGCCTTGGTGAAATCTCCCCTATGCTTGAAATGTGAAATGTCCCACCTCCTTTAGTTTAGAATGTACTTAAGATCGGGAAATTTTCATTGTTTTAATATTTTTGTGGTTGAAGTGAAGCACAAAATTTTGACACACAAAGTATTTTCTACAGAGAATAATAAGATTACTGAAATTATTCTAACGTGCAGCTGTATATGCACAGGATTCTTCTAAAAGCCCAAAAAAGGCCTGAAGCTCTCACCCAAGAGGCTCCTTGTATTTTTCGGTGCTATGACAAGCAACTTAATTTGATCGAATAGTTGTCCATTGTCTCCAAGAGTTTGTAAAATTTTTTATGCCAATTATTTTTAACAAGAAAATTTCTCGATCTACAGTAATCTATACACATACATAGTATGATAGTACTTCATAGCAGGGTTGTTCACAAAGCATTTATAGTGTTATTATAGTATTATAATACCGGTATTACAGTAGTTTATAATTATTATTTTACTATACCTCTTTTCTGGGGCATGATGATACTTGACTACATGTTTATGACTATTGCTCTTTTTATTTTAGCACAAAGAACCACCAAAAGGTGATTAATTCTCATTCTTCAAAATTCCCATTGGGATTACTGCTCCCTTTTTGCAGCATCAAACATGAATAACCAGGTACATGTCAATATAGATCATGAAATCATTGAAGGCACTGGAGAGAGTCGGGCTCAGAGAATCTTTCGTTTTTGTCTCTTACCTTTCTTTATTTCTTGTGTTTGCAATAGTGAGCCTAATTAACAAGCTGAATGCATTTATATTTCATTTTATTTATAGGAATTTGGGCTCTTGGTCTGTTGATATTCAATTTTTGTTTTGGTGTAACCTTGATTGTTGCTACAGGTGCGTATGATTTTTTCACAACCAAAAACATGCATGCTGTTTATTATAAACTATGCACCTGAAACTAGTAGTCACCTTGTGCTGTTTGACTTTGAATTTTTTACAGTGTATATGGCCTGTATGTTCCTAAACACCATTAAGACAACATTACCTGGGCCCTGTGTCCTGGGTACTTTTGTAATTGCAATTAGCACATTACAAATTGTGCTTATTAGAGAGTTTTTATTTCTGTAGTCCTTCCTTTTACAACAAAAAAATAATTTTGTTTAAAATTACCAAAAGAGGGTTACCTCAGTTCTGGAAGTCTATTGTTTAGTGAAACTGAGGTAACCACCCATGGGTTATCTTAACTACTTATTTTTTGCAGTGTTAGTGGTTAAATCATTGGTTTTTACATACCGTATAGCGCTTTATTTTGGTGGCGCCTATTTTGGCAATTTTGCTGTAAAATTGTAATTAGCGGTTTATAATTTGGCGATTTTTTGTGTACACGTGCATTACTGCATGAGCATGCACATTAATAATTAGTGGTTTTAATATTGGCAATTCTGCTTGCAAACCACCAATTGCCAAAATAAAACTCTGCCAAATTAAAGCGCTATACGGTATGCCTGTTGCCTTTTAAAGCCTAGAGACTATACATTATCTTTTCCTCTCTTTACTATTAGGAATGGGTCCGCTAGCAAAGTGTGGACATTACTTCACTTACACTAGTATTGGTTTCATAGCTATGATTGTTATTGCCTTCATCCTATCTTGTCTGTGTGTTAGCTTTGCTTGCTGCAAGGAAGACAATATTATAGCCTATATATACAGCAAACACAGTAACCGTCAGGCTCGTCTATTCTTCTTTGTTCTCTGTTTCAGTATTGTTTTTCTTTTGATTCTTTCTGTTGATTCAGTATTTATTTTTATGAAGTACCAGGAGTTTTCTATATTTGGTGATTGCAATGGAAGCCAAGGATTATTGTATGGTCTTTATGTCTGGTATGTACTTGTACTTTATTTTATTATTGGATGGTGTATAGTGGTTGGCAAAGCATTAATTTGTGGTGAAAACTATTTTTTCTTTTTTCAATATAGTGAAACTGTCATTAGCATGATATAGTTATTATTGCACTTTGTACATTTTAAATTTTGTATACTTTGTCTCTAAATTTATTATCATTAATAAAACTTTTTATAAAAGAGCAAAAACGGAATGCAATCTAAATAGCAATCTGCTGCAATTTATCATCGCCCAGCACTTTTCTCATTAACAGAAGCATAACAACATGTCATACAATTGCATTGATATGTGCTAAGTTATAACTTCTTTAAACCTAAGTCATGATTGTCATCAGTATAACTATTCTATTGCAACAAGCAAGGGGTATTTCATTACCTAAAATCATGCAGTCTCATTGCAGTATATTATAAATGTCTGCATGTCATGCATGGATCACTTTTTTCGGATTTGTAAGGTGCATGGGTGTGTGAAAGGCACCACTAAGTCTGTATCTCATACAGCACACATAGTTTGTGATGCATACAGCTCAAGTTGTGCTGTTGTGGTCCATATAGCATATATGTATATTTGTTGTTTTATGTTTTATGTTGTATAGGCTGAGATGCAAGAGCTGCTTTTTATGAGTATTCTTATATTTCTTGTGTTCATTTTAATTTGTTTTAATGTTAATGTATGGATATTTTACACTCAACTCGAACAAACGTACATAGACAGTTTTGGAATAATTTATAACAGCTATTTTAGGGAGAGTTAATCTCACTGTAAGTGTTTATAGTGCTATGTTTTGATTTTAAGTGAGACTTGATCTACAATGATTCATATTTAGATCCATCATCCAAATTTTTGCATTATCTTACTTTTAGAGGCCATCACAATTTTTATGTATGTAAAATATATGGGCAGACATAGTCTTGCCCTGCCCCTTTGCTACCTACAATGTTTATTATCCGGTTATACTAGCTAATATTGATAGAATCAACCAAAATATGGGTTACAGGATTAATGAGTATTAGAAATAATTTTATAAAATTTTCATTCACATGTATATTTGTGTCACCTCTATGTTTATATGAGCTAGGTATTTTTAATGTTATATACATGTATATTATGGCATTAACACAAACAGCCTATAAATACAAACAGCCTCCTACATCTAAAATAACATTGAATGTTACAAAGAACAACTCAATGTTATTTTAGATGTAAGAGACTGTTTGTGTTTATAGAACATCAAGCAAGTGGAATTATCATCATAATCAAATGGAGAATCTTGAATCTAGGTGCTATGTCTAAGTATATAGAGCATTAAACAATTAATATTTAGACACTGTCTGAATATTGTTTAATTTGATCATTTTTATGACTGGTCAGATATGAGTACTAATGTTGTTTAATTTTTTTTTAGATAAAGATCATAGATAGTTTAATGCACACTGACTAAACATAAACATGGTCATGTTGATAAATAACCACACCCTCCAATCCTAGAGCATTGACTACTGTAGACTAGAGAAGTGGAGCAAAATATGTCAAAGCAATGTTTTCTTTTATTTTGGTGTATATTACTTTACTCTTCTTTATTGACAGCTGAAAAAACTAAAAGTCTCTATTTTGGATACATAACTACACTGTCTGGCCCTTTAGTCCTAAGTGGTGCAATACCAGTAGTTGATCTTGCACTGGAGCTTATTAATGAAAGGGACGATGTTCTACAGAACTATACTCTGAACTACACACATATTTTGGATTCAAAGGTACAGTGAAGCTTTTATAATGATATATATTTTAAAAATTTTATCCAGTGCGATCGTACTACATCACTTGATAATTTTTTTCAATTGATAAACAATGACACTACTTATGTGTCATTGATTGGATGTGGATGTTCTCCTGCTACTATACCAGTAGCAGAAATTAGTCACTATTGGAATATACCACATGTAAGTGGGCTTTCATATCACACTTGTGTTCTGTTGAGGTGCTTTAAAAATTGCTGCCTGATGGTCATCAATAATGCAATTCTTCAATTTAAATTAATGTCTATTATTTATTATTTGCATACAGTTGGCTTATGCAGCTGGTGCTGATATCCTGAATGATCGAAGTCGATTCAGAAACTTTTTCAGAACAATTCTGTCTCTTAGATATTCTGGGGCATCCTTGGGTCAGTTAATGAGAGAATTTGGATGGAGACAAATGGCAGTAATAACACAAGATGAGATTGTGTTCAGACAAGTAAGAACATAACATTTTCAAGACTATTGTGCATATCTATGTTTGAAAGCCTAGTGGAGCTTTTGTTTATCCTAACATATGAATGTTATTCATAACAAAATTAAGGATAATGCTTATAGTGCTACCAGTGTTTATCATAGTCTTTAGCATTTCCACATTGTCAGAAAACTTAATATGCTCATCTTTTTAGTGGATTGTTTGATGAATTTCTGAAATTACTCCAAAATTTGACAGAACGCCATGTACATGTACTTGGTATCGTACAAGATAATTTATTGGTGAGGAATTAATATTGGCGATTGGCAGTTTTATGAAGAAACTGCCAATATACAATTCACGATTTTGTTTCAATATGCATGAGCATGCTCAATGGCGTATGACACAAAACTGCCAATATAAAATTCACCAATTAACTTTCCACAAGCAAATTCATAAAATATTACTCTTTCCAATAAATCATCTTGTATGCATGGTATTTTGTTTACGAGAGAATTCTCCTTTTATAACTTTTTGTGATATGCATGTTCTTATTGCTGTGTAACTGATTCCAAGATTCCAATCAAGATCAGATTTTCTTAAATTATGCAATTTTTTTTCAAAAGTCATGTACTTTGTCAGGTCATGCAGCATGCTGTTTAGCTGCTTTGTTGTGAGGAAACCTTGCTCTACAGTAATCAGATCTAATAGTTCAATATTGTTTTTAGCCTTTTGCATTTTCTTCTGATATCTAAGAACATGTTTGCTGGTGCTAGCTACATGGATATTACAGTCAAAACAAAGTGCACTGTAGTGTACAAATTACATATTGGACTGAATCATTGGGTGTATAGCCCATTAGTAAAGTGAAAGGATAATTAATCCATGACAATAATAGTAATACCAATGTCATTCATGCATGCCAAGCAAGTTAATTTTCTAAACACTTTCATTATAAACTAGGCTTCCAAAACAATGTGTATAAACTAAAAGTGATAGCTATTTCCCTATGGTATCAAATTTTGTTTTAGAGTGTAATAATGGTTTAATACACATCCACACGCACAACATAGAGTTACCTTTAGAAAGTGTTTTGTTAGTGACTGTAATGTGGCTATTATTTTCTTATATTTATAACAGATCACTGAAAGTGCTACTAATATCTTTGAGGACCAAGGATGGAAATTGAGCAGTTTTGTTGTCTTATCAAGTGGTAACCCTTTATCCTACTTTGACAGAGTAAGTTAGCTATTTACTTGAATAACAACATGTATTAACCTCTTAGAGCAATGTTAAGAACTTTAGAATCATTCACATTAATGCATATCCTAATTTTGCTTATAAGATACTGTGTGAGGTATGTGATGTATTATTCTAATGTACCTCTTACATACTGAGCATATTAAATAGGCATATTATAGAGATATGATTGGTCCCATGTATTTGTGGATTATTCCAATGTGGTATAATACTGGTTGGTGGAGGACCAACAGCACTTCATTTTCAAACAATGTTTCCTGTACAGATGAAATTATGTCAAAAGTCATTGATGGAATTATAGGTATAGTTCCAGATGGGTTTTTAACTCTTCAGAATGAATCATTGGTAACATTTTCCGGCCTAGTAAGTTTAAATTAAAGAACATACGACATATGTTACTCTACTGTAGACTTCACAGATGTATCTTGAAACTTATACTGCTCTCCTTCAAAAGCCTAAATATAAG